TTAAAAACAAACTTACTGTCTAAATCCTCTTTTGCAAGTATTTGTGTCCGCAAGAGAGTGCTCGTGTCTGGGTACATATATCTGCACATATGTGATTAGAGCACAGTAGAGGACAATCTCTGTGTAATTACCAGGAACCTTCCTCTTTTGTTTAAGACTGGATTTCTGACTGACCTGGAACTTCGTCTGGTATGCCAGGCTAGCAGTAGGGTCAGGGATCAGCTTGTCTCTCCCATCATCCTGACACAATCATTGGGATGCCAAATGTCCAGTACTACATATATTTTGTTGGTTTGTTTTTAAGTGTGTTTGTTTTTGTGTGGCTTCTGGGCATCCAGATTTTGGTCTTCATGCTTCGGGAGCAAGTGCTTCAACAACTGAGTCACCTCCTCAGTCCCTACTTTAATTCTTTGGATCAATTCCTTATTGCAATTTACAATTGAGAAACTGGAGCCTTGGAAAGCTTTGGCAACACATCTAGGATGCATAGGCCTACTCAGTATGATTCCAATGGTGTGTAAGAAAGCCAAATAAGAATGTAGAGACGACTATGCACAAATCTCCCATTTTTAATGACTTGTACAGGGTAAATGATCAAATTGTGCCAAATCCATATACCATTTTGGGCAATAGTTAACTTGATTGTCCACATTTCTAACTGAAACTGGAGAGTTAAATAGGATGGGTGGTGAGCAAAATTTTAATCTTAGTTTCATTTTTAGCATGGCAAGCAAAACATAGCATTTTTATTATTTGAATTTATGGCCATATTTGATGAAGCAAATAATTTCATTTAGTAGCTCTTTTGAAAAATCGGTTCTGTATCTACTTAGAATTAATTTTACCTATTTACAAAATAGAAGTCTGCAGGAATGCTGAGCTCTATGCCATCACTTTGCAAGAGGAACTTATTTCATAATGCCATGTTGGACTTTTAGTCATTTGAACTCAATGAAAGAACTCGGAAGAGGGATATCGCTGTTTTAACTAGCAGTTTATTTTGCATGAGACAACTGTCTGGTGACACACATGCGAGTTGGTCTTCTAGCACTCAATCTACTCTTCTAATTCGGAATCCTCTTCTAATTCGGCTCCCTGAGTTCCTGGAACAGTCTGATCATCTATTAACTACACCAAAGTGTTTACACTGAAGAGTCTTTTTTTCAAGTTAAGAGAAAGAAATTCAAATTAGTTTGCCACCAGCAGCTACTCTGATGGAGAATGTGTATTTTAGATTTAGTTACAGGCTCTCCAATATAGCAGTGTAGGTGTCCTTAAACTGAAAATATTGTATTCTAACAGTTCCCGAAGTGTTGTGACTAATTGAACATTTTTTCAACGTTCTGTAAAAATGCCTGTGAATTTATGAGGTGAATCCAACCTTGAGAAATGTACACCATCATGGCTCACGGTTGGCATGCAGTTACATTAGCATTCACATAGACGTGGAGCCTGTCTCTTAGGATACATAAACTGTTTGTTCACCTTGCTTCATAACAATTCATAAAAGAAAATACCACAGGTTTCTGATTTTATGTATTGGTGTTCATAACCAGAAAAATATTTTTGGTAATTGTAGGCTATATGATATACTACCTTGATAAAATATTGAAAATATAGTGTCATTTGTAATAGGTAACCTTTTCCAGGGGAAGAGATGTAATTGTTAAAAGCCCTCATTTTTCTTAATGCTGAACAAATTTATTTCCTATCGTATAGTGAAACTCTACCTTGGAACTTACATTAGAGAGAGAAAAAATAAATCATGCATTAGAAAATATGTATTATTAGCATGCAACTCCCACACTATATTTTTTCTTGTTTGTTTGATTTGAATAGTTGGTTCAATAGATTCAAAATTTTAAAAATGTGTTCTATTTGTGATCATAGGGATTCCTCCCACAGCTCTCTCTTTAATCTTTTCTTCACATGAACATTTTATTCTTTTCTCATATATTTCCATTAAATATATCTCAGATTGCAAAAATCTTCTGTGATAGGTATATTATTTGTCATACAATCCTCACTCTATAGCTAGAAAGCTAGTTCCAGTGATCTACTGAGGGTACTGTAAAGAGACTATATACACCTCAGAAGTTAGAACCATAGCAAATAAATAGAAGGAAGTAATATATTTATCATTTGTTCCTCTTCTTTCCTATTTCCCCCTTTTCTACCCCCAAAATAACTGTCAACACCTCCAAAAAAACCCTGTATATGGAATTCTTAATATAATATTCATTTCTGTCCAGTTTAGTAGATATAGACTCAGGGATCAGCTAAATAATTATTTCACCATGATCAGCAACACAAAGAAGAGCCCAGATAATGTTTACATATGTGCAGCACTGGCTATTGAAAGTTCTAAAAGGTGAAATGTTTTATGACACTGAAAACATCCAAGGCCAGGTATTTGCTAAATAGTGTTATTGGTTCTATTGTCACTTTTACTTGGAGAAAGACTTCTTATCAACTCCCTTTACGTCATCCTCACCCTACTTCCAAAATTAATTGAAACAAACAGCAACAAAAGAATGTCATTGATTCTGAGAAGAGACTATCACACACTTAAAGAGTTGTAAAGTCACTAAACTGCTTTAATTTATATAAGTAAAAGCACTGTTTACATGATGTAGATATGTATTCCTGGTATTCATTAAACTGTTCAATGTTCAGGGTTGATACTTTGTCCATAGAAATACATATAATATGTCTGAATCCTGCAATCTGCCCCAGGCACATATGCCAGTGTTACTCTAGCAACTTTATTGAAAGAGTCTCTTATCTTGATCTAGTGAAAAATCACACATATATATGCAATACACACATTTTAAAAATTTTCCCCAAATTTGTTTTATGTAAAGAACAACATATCATTAACTGAATTTAATTTAAGAATATTATATTACTGCAATCCCTGAGACACTAATTATTCAGGGGTAAAGAAAAATAAAAAACATCAGATGACTATAAATAAGAGACTGGGGAAACTTCTTGTGGCTTATGGAAATGGACACTGAGTTGAACAGGTTACTGTCTTCATTTTGTGAAATAGCAGATTGTTATGGTTGCCAAGAGTAACTCCAAGCCACAAGTCTATGGATACTCACAAGCTGAACAGCTGTGCTATGCAGGGCCACATTGTGCCTCAAAATGTATGTTGACCATTTATTGTTTAGATTTAAATAGAGAGGGTTATGTGCTTCATGCCATGGTCAACCTCACTGCTTAATATATATTTATAGCTGGCCTCCCCACCATCTGTGCACATAGCCTACACTACATCTCTGAGGAATTAGAGTGCCATTATTTGAGGACCAGATTCAGTAGCCAGGAATAAAGCAATCCATCACTTATGTGGGGAATATAAGAGATTCATAGTAATATTCTTTTGTGTTTTGGGATTTCTCCCTTCATTTCATACCATTTCTTCCTAATTCAATGGATATTGCAAAAGATGATGCTCCAAAGTGTCACTGGCAAAACTACTCTTTGGAAGTGCTCTTATCCACTTAGCCACCTGTGCAACCCCAACTTAACTTAAAGTATTTTTAAAAGACTTAAACTTGGGTATTTGAAGAAAGACAAATCAAACAAATTGGTCCCATAAAATATCAATATATTTAGCAAGCAAGCACATGCATATTCAAACAAGAACTCATACTCTAACTTTAGACAAAATACTAAAGTAATAGTAAATTTACTGTTTATCCACAGATAGCTAAGTAGTCTGTCAAAATAATAATAATAATAATTAATAATAATAATTACACTGTATGCTTAGTGTTGTCTCTGCTTTTAGTCTCTTGAATCTATTTCTTGTCTCTGCGTTCTTTAGGTTCAGAGAGGGACATAAGATCTTGGAGTGATGGAACAAAGTCTGTTTTTCTCAAAATATCCTATTCAAATTCCACCATCATGGAAAATATGCATGCATCTACTTCAAACACACTTCTTTATGTTTTTCAGAGTTTTTCTCTTTAGGCATTCTGTTACTAAGTATTATTCTCTGCCTTAGCTCCTGGCTTAACTTCACAACTGACTGTGTCTCTATCTGTTGGAGGAAAGGACTCATTGGACAGAGTTTAGCTAGGGAGCTTAAGCCTAGATTTACCCTTGTTTCATTCAAGTGTACAAATGAATCTCTTTCCGGTGTTACCTCATTGTATTTATCCCTGCGTTATGAACAGTACAACAACATTTCCATCTAGAACAATTTTCTTTTTCTCATGCTTGGAATCATTCCTCATCAGTACATATATACACAGTATACACACAAACACACACACATACACACACACACACTCATGGGGTGAGAAGGAGGAGGAGGAGAAAGAGGAAGATGAAGAGGAGGAGGAAGAGGAGAGAGAGAGTGAGAGAGAGAGAGAGAGGGAGAGAGAGAGAGAGAGAGAGAGAGAGAGAGAGAGAGAGAGAGAGAGATTACTGGGATCATTTGAAGAAAGAAAACTTCAATGATAACATAAAAATAGACATATTTCAGAACTTCAACCAATCCTCGAGCTCAGTGGGAAGCTGCCAGAGAAGTTCCTGAGCATCTGTGCTCAGTTCTGTCAACTCACTGTCAACTCACATGGGTTCTAGAATGTCTTAAAAGTTCATATAATAGCCTTACATATACCTGTGTGTATATGCACACAAATCTAAACTTACACATAATGTCATTATATATTTACATGGTATATTGGAACAAAAGTCAGTCACATAATAGACAGACAATAATAATTTATTGGTGGCTTTCTGAAACCATGAGTACTAATGTCCATAAGGTTCTGATTTCATTTGATATACATGACAGTTAGCAGAATAAGATAGACAGATCTAGCTTAGAATTTCTTGGAAGGGATATCTCATAAACACATACATGTATACCTTGATGATATAAATAATTTCATCCTCACTTTGAGCCACATGAAAACTGTGTGGGTGTTGACAAGCCACACATGATGACAACACTAAGCCCCATAGCTCCCATGTCTTACCAGGCTTGGGGACAATCAGCTGAGCGCTGCTTTGGGCATTGCCAGCCTCATTTTCAGCCACACATTGATAAAAGCCTTCATCTGACTTCACCACTCCAAGGATCCGTAAGTTGCTTCCTCCCTAAGTGGGGGGGGGGAGGGAAAGCAGGTGAGATTATTTTGCCAAAGGGGTAAAGACCTTAATGTAACAAAATAGAGACAGAACACAGAAGAGTTAAGAAAATTCATGAACCTATCTAGCCAATATGCTCTATGCTCTTTGGAAAATATTCCACATCCTTACTTTATTTCTGAATCCTTGGGCAGGATTCTGCATAAGTCTGTAAAGAAAGTAGACTCATATAACTATACATCTTCTGGATATTTAAATGCTAAATTTAAAGTTTTCTTTACCAAGAATGCAAGAAATCTAGATCAGTATCTAAATAACCTGAATTCTTCATTTCATGAAAGGAAGGTAGGGCTAGGAGATAAATAGATAAATAAAAAAGAAAGAATGAAAAAACTCCTCCTCCTTGCAAATTCTAAAGAGAAAACTATTCAGGTTAAATCATTTCTGGGAGTATTTGCCCAATGTAGTGTCTGAGAGTCTTTTAAAATAGCAATTTCTTTGGCATAATCTTTGGGGTGCTAGAAGTTGAGCCTATGATAGATTTTTTTATGCCCATTTTGGTTTTGTACATAGTGGAAAAATTTCACCTTCAGCAATTCATTGTGGAAACACAGTAAAGTTAACTCCTTTTGTGTATAATTTAAACCACAATCTGTTTCAAGGATGGATGATAAAATGATCTGGAGATAGTATTTAATTATACAAACTCAGTTTATCTTCAATATTAGTGCAAGACTTAGTTCAGTAAGTGAGACATGCTAAATCACTTCCCCTAAAGTCATTAAGAGATAAATATTACCTCACAGGGAATTCTTAATTGTTTTTAGTGTCTTGTAGTCAATTTTCAACTGATGTAAAATTCTTAGATAAAGCTGGCTAACTTCTAATTAACAATTCTCCTCTAAGTTACTGTCTGAGCTCAGCATTACATGTGTAAAGCACAATGGCTCTCGGATTTCTCTAACTACTCAGGAAATATTTTTAAGCACATTTTTATGTGAATAGGGTATATACCATACATTTTCTTCCACCTAAAGAAAAGAAGCATTTGAATAGCTCAGCTATAATGAGTCATGCTGTGAAAAAGATTATTCAAACTGTAGGGAAAAAAATAAATGTTGTATTTTATCATGTGTCCTTAAGGGCACTCAACAATTTCCTTTTCATGCAAGTAGCATATATTTTAGGCACATGTACCACTTTTCAAGCTGCCCAATGGCAGGTCATTTTTTAATTCAGTGGTAGTGGAAAGAGCATTGCATTTAAAATAATGGATGGTGTGGCATTCAAAAGTTAAGTGGTGCTCTCTCTTTACTCTTACCCAACCAATTAAACAAATGAAAGTAAAAGCGAAAATGAAAAACAGAGACAGCAATGATAAAGGTGTGGTGTACAGATTTATTCTGTAGAAGTATAGTGTGACAAAGTGCATACAACTAGGAGACTATGGACATTACTGAAAGCTGTTTGATTGTAGAAGAGTCATTTACCAACAAGGGCACGTAATGCCACAGGGGGATACTGTAGGGGCCTCACTGGATGACCATTCTCTAGTTCAACTGCCTGGGAGACTTGACCCTGTTATGACTTTCCTTTGACAGGGTCACATTTGTCTCAAATACAAAAGCTCCTAAGGCCATCTTCTTTAGTCATACAGTTCTTTTCATAGTTGAAAAGTAGATTTTATAGTTCTTCTGTGCTCATATGCCTGAAATCAGAACCTTTGTGATGAGTCTACACCTAACAGTGAGTTTTCATAGTGCTTTTTCAAGTAGCAAATGTTTCTTGTAGTAATCGAGAAACCTGTTATCCTATGATCTCCCCCCAGGATACTGAATTTTAACCAGAATTTTGAGGAGAGGGGTTGTAAGAAGTATGGTTCACAGTCCTTTTTGTTTCCAACACGGGAAGCAGTGTTACAAAGCAATACAAATTGTGTAGCTCCTCAGGTAGAGCCAGGACCACAGTTACAACTTCTGTCATCACTTCTCAATAGGGTTATCAGGCTCCACCTGAGATAAAAATTAGGGAAGCAGTAGTGTAGATGTCTGCAATAGGACAATCATAATAATTACAAGCATATTTTACTGAAAAGCATTACTAATGGTAGAAGCTAAACAAATAAAACTAATCCTAGATCCCTGCATTCTGCAACAAAGTTTGTAATCTCGAACCCATGAAATGACAATGAGAATACTTTGTCACAAACCCTTTGTCTTCTCTTCTCCCATTTCTACCACCCTCTCTTTCCCCTCTTTCTTTCCTTCCTTTAGTATTTCATTGCTTGACCTATCCTTTCTTCTTTCCTTCCTTCCTTTTTCCTTCCTTTCTTCCTTCCTTCTTTCCTTCTTTCTTTCTCTACATTTTGAAAAAATAAAACATGCTTTTTAACTGCCTAGAATTTCAACTTTACAAATTATTTGCTTTCCTAAACCAATTCTTATATCAGAAATTGAAATGTTTGGGATTGACTCACAATCTCTGGTTTCCCCAAAGACCATGGGCTACTTCTACAGCTTTCATTTTACAGCAGAGAAAAATTAGTGAAAGAATGCAAATAATGACCAGGGTTTTTAAACTAATATGAAAAGAATATAATTACCACTATCTGAAAATAATCACTAGGAATCACCACATCTCCATTCTTCATCCAATTCACAGTGGGCACAGGCTTCCCCGAAACTGCACATTCAAACTCAATATCCATGCTTTCATAGGCATAGAGGTTGGAAGGGTGATTTAAAAACCAGGGTGGAACTGCAAAGACAGAAAACAGTGAATGAGTGGGCACATGGTTGTATGTGCTGAGGTCTCACTGAAACAAAAACAGTATTCTGTAATTGTGTTACTTACCAACTCTTAGCTTATTAAACAAGAATTAGTGGAGGATATACTTCCCGCAACCTCAATGCAATTAACAAAGTTTGACCATAGGAAAGAAATAAAACATTTCTGAGAAAAATACATACAGTAAGTATTTTGGAGACCAAAATATTTGCAACCATTTGTTCTATGAACTGAAAAGTAGATAATGCTTAGGAAACTGTATCTTAGGAAAAAAACACCAGTAAGATTACATGTACAAGACAATTCACATAATGAGATCAGAAAGATCTGTAAAAATATGTTTCATTATGATTTAGTTATAGATGCTCTTTAGTGTAAAGTACCTTGTAATGGTCTTATTAACACATTCATATTGTTTTAGCAACTATCCACTATACTATATAATTGTACTGTATATGATTATTCCCTGATTATGGTATGTCATCAATTAATTTCATTTAACTTCTTAATTACATAATAATAGTTGTTCCATAATGAGAATTTGTTTTTGAAAGAAAACTACAATATAACACATCTTAGCTAATGATGCTAGCTCAGTTCCTCAAAACCAGGAGGTAAAGTATTGCGTACAATTTACCCCAGCCATGTGGAGATTTAAGGCGAAGTATGCATGTAGTCTGAGAAGAAACAAAATTCAGTGAAGTGTCAGCCATAATCTTGGTTTATGTAGAAAACATGCATCTTCAGTATTCATTTTCCAAGTCAGTCTTTGTTTTTAATCATGGTTTTACCATGTTCAGTGTGCAACGAGTGATAGTTTCTGTACGTTTGAGTAACTACATATTTTCCTTCTTCAAACCAAGATCAACAAGTTTGCCCTGGACACCACAGTATGTATACACATTGTCTTACCAGGATCACCAAGTTTGCCCTGGACACCACAGTATGTATACACATTGTCTTACCAGGATCACCAAGTTTGCCCTGGACACCACAGTATATATTCACATTGTCTTACCAGGATCACCAAGTTTGCCCTGGACACCACAGTATGTATTCACATTGTCTTATCAGGATCACCAAGTTTGCCCTAGACACCACAGTATGTATTCACGTTGTCTTTGTTTCTCACCAAGAACTATGGCAATGAGGGGCAGAGATAGTACAAACATCATGGTTTCATCTTTGTGTCTTCCATCTTTTAATCTCAGTCTGTCTTAGAGTCTTGATTTGTAGCTAAACGTTTGAACCTCCAGGACTAAACTCCTTTTAATTTCTTTAATCCTTCACTGGGGCAATTGATTTAGATGACTGGACTTAGAATCATGAATATTCATGCTCCAAAGTCATGAAAAGGAATGTCTCAGAGCTGTTCTAAACACTGTATACAGGGCTAAATTATGTATTTAATATTGATAATATTATTAGCATAATGATGATTTTTTTTTATGATTCCTTTGCCAAGTTCACTGACAATGTACCAAAAGACATCTGAAATATTTATTGAGTGCCTCTCAGGACACATATAGGAGTTGAATCTTTATAACTCTGTCCTCAGTTTCATACAGATTTGCATCCAGTGATTATTTACTAGGCAACAGGCAGTATTTCTTGGGAAAAGACAAAGTAGAATTTATTAGTCCACTCTCTTTATATTTAGCAGTTTTATCAGAGTTCTCTGAGGCATGATGTATTATTATTATTTTAAAAGAAAAAATGTTACACTACAAGGCATTTACATAACTTTCTTTGAAATTACACTTTTTGTAAATTAAGAACCTGACAGCCTGCTGCCCTACCCACATTCTTTACTGCTTTGCTGTAACTTACTATTTTGATACCTAACATTCTGGTGGAACAGTCACTCAGAAATGTTTCTAGGGTCTCAGAGATGATGGTAGGATGTTCTGAGAGCTACTTTAGAAATGATAACAACTATCTACACACGCCAAACTTTTCAGGCTCTTTGTCCTTTGGATGAGAAACTCCCTCAGTCTGCCCATTCAAACTGCTCTTTCTCTCATCAGGTTTTGGAAAAACGAGAGCTTTGGAGGTTTGCAATACTGGGCCCATTCACATGTGTATCTTGAAAGTAATTACCTGCCGTGAACCAAATATTTCAATAACATGTGTGTCTATATGCATAGAGTATATTCCAGAGTGGGAGAAGATGAAGAAACAACGAAACAACCTAAAATTTAGGAGTAGGAACAGGAAGAGTCAAGGGGGCAGGAAAGGAGGAAGGACATCCAGAATATCTAGAATAGCTGCAAAATGATGCAATTTTCACTAAAGCCAGTGATAGAGCCAGAATGGACTGGGTTTTAATCTTACTCTGTATATTCAATATAAATATCTCTGATTATATCCTTTCTTATAATGTAGGGTGAAGAATTGAGAATAGTGACAGGCGATGAAGGAAAATAACACACAGTTTAAAGGAAAACAGTAGCAGAGCCAATAAGAATGCATAGACCACATATTATTTTATTGTCTATAATCTATACAAATATCTACATAAAAGTAGACACTGAGTGTGGGTTTGCATGATATAGTTAACCTCATGATATTTTTAAAAATATGTTATTTTCATGTTTTCTAATTAGAATTCTCATTTTAATTATAGATGACAAAACAATATACACCATAGAGTGGAGCTTCTGATAAATTATATTTAACTGCTTTCTATTTTCAAAATAGCTATATTCAGAAGCACTCGGTTGTTCTATAATCTAGGTAGGAATCATTTTCCAATTTATTGTCTTTCATTGGGTAACATTGAGTGGATCACATGGTCAATTCTGAAATTATTTCACTTTATTGATGACTAAAATCTAGTGAACTATGATTAAGGGGATACTTGCTTTTACTCATATAACATGGGAAGTATTAGATGCTGACCCAATAATTATTACCACTTACATGTATGTATGTATACACATATATATAAAAATTATGACTGTCTTTCTGAGTTTTCCATAGAACCTATGCTTTCAATATTAAACTTTACACTATGTTTTTACTGACTAATTTACATAATTTTTATAACTGGTTCATTAATTTCTATGTTAGATACTTGGTAAACTGAAATATTTGTCTACAAGTACATTGAGGTTTTAAACATTAAAACAAACACATTGTGTATCCAAATTGGACTCAGATCTGTATTTCCTGCAATAAGTCTTATGAATGTGTGTGTCATCAGCATATTATGATCAAGGTAATTACCAATAAAGTCTCTTCACACCATACTTAGTACAGTGTTTCATTTTCATAATATAATAGACATTTGTTTTGTATTTTAAGAACTCAATAAAGTTTACATTTTCTAACTATACTATGTGTGTACTGATTTAAGATACAGACTAGAATCTTGAACAACTCATGCAAACCTTAAAAACAAAAATCTGAGCTTATATGGAAAACAAAACAAAAAATAGCACGAGGTGCAGAATGATATAACATGTCCATTTTATATAAAAAAAGAGGTTATGCGATATATTAGAATAACTTTCTGAAAGAATAATAAACATATGGCTTGCGTAGACTCAAATATTTGAGTGCTTAAGGAGTGATATTAGGATGCATGGCCTTAATACATTAGGTGTGGCCTTTTAGGTAGAACTATGTCAGAGGGAGTGGGGTTTGGGGTTTCAAATGTTCAATCCAGGCCCCCCTGTTTCTCTCTCTCTCTCTCTCTCTCTCTCTCTCTCTCTCTCTCTCTCTCTCCTTCTCCAATACTATGTCTACCTGTGCACTACCATGATTCCCACCATGACAAATAATGGACTAATCCTCTAATTAAATATTGTTAAGAAAGTAGATATGGTCATGGTGTTTCTTTACAACAATAAAACACTAAGACAGAAACCAAATTTATATCTAGTATTTTGATAGACCAATACAATACAATACAATACAATACAATACAATACAATACAATACAGATAATATATTGATTTTTAGCTGTGTTTCCAAACTAATCCTCTTTATCATAATTTTCATGAGCCTGGGGTCACTAAAAGATACACTATGACCATAAATAAATCTTAAATAAGATCCTATTTATTTACATACTGGTGTGCCCAGCACTGTACCTAAAAGAGCTCCCAAGATGTAGCCCCCTGTCATATCAACCTAGTATGCATAAAGGCAAACCCCACAAGATTGCATGTATTCTGTCTATATGTAGGCAGGGTCTAATTTTAGCATATAGGTTTTGCAGTTGTCTTAGTCATCTATTGTTAGCAGAGTAAGCAAGTTTGATTACAAAAGCAGAAAGAGGAGTTAGTCTAATGACCTACTATCTTAGTAGAACAGCAAATTTTACAAGTTCAGTCAGTTCAAGAACAGTTTCCAATGTCTTGGAAATGAAGGGGAAGTGGACTTCTGGAGTACAGCTTGTATAAATTAGGGGCTTACATTATTTCATGTTAGAGGATATTGCTTTGGTTTGTTTTGGTTTTTTATTTTCTGTTTCATTTTGTTTTGCTTCTTGGTCTCTTCAGTATAGCAGTCTAAACTTCAAATGTAATATTAACTTTCATAATAACCAAATTATTAAGTGGAAGAAATTGACATTTACAATGGTATAATCAAGGTTTTTTTGTTTGTTTGATTATAGCAACTAAAGCGTGAAGATTGCTTATCTACAGGTAAGGATTAACTTCTGCAGAGTCACGGAACACTGCCTAGATTGCACTCCTCAGATAGGAAACTTCTATTTCTTCTGTTAGAGGCAACTTGCATCCCAGTTGTATGTGGGGTTCTATCTTTTTCTCCTTCACTTAATATTCTACCTCTGTGGCCAGTATTTATTAAGAAGTGTTTGCTAATTCATCTTTCATATGTGTGAGTATCGGCCAGCCAGGTAAAGGTTCTTGAGTGCAATTCCCTGAGCGTGTGACTGGTTGTCAGTTTTCTTGTACGCTTAGCTCTGTCTTTTACTTCTATGAAAGCAATAATTCCAG